TCAATGATATTAAGTGCTTTTGTGTTTTAATTTAACCAGAGGTGTTAGTTTAGTAAATTCACAAGTCATATAATAGCCCACAACAAATCATCCTAACAGAGTAAAAGCGTTAAAGTCTCTATCTTAAATGTAAAAAAACTGCCTAGTATTCATTTTTTTTTTCAGACTCACGTTTCACTTGTTAAAGTTGTAATAATTACTGAAAAATAAACTCTATAATTTTGATCGCTTTGAGTAATCCAACTTAGAACTTTCAGAAATTTTGAAATTGTTAAATACCCTGGTTTTTCTTGATTTAAACAAAATTTAGACGTCTTATATTTTTTTGAATCGTTAAGATGTTAAGACCACAGTTTCAGACTTTTTACTGTTTGCGATTTTCTCTGTTTTTAAGTTATTTACGATTTTTTTTATTTTCGAATCTCACATTTTTTGCAATTGTTTTTCAAGATTTGAGGGATTTTGCGATTTTGAAACTACTGAGGTCTTTACAAGTCTTTTGAAAATTTCCTTCTAAAATATTCGTGTTTGGATTTCTAGATATTTTTAAAACATTGTAGATTTTTGAACTTTTTGTGCTTTTATGATAGATGACGCTTTCCAGCTTTTGCGAACTTTAGGACTTTTGGGTTTTTTGATTTAAGGTTTCTTGTTATTATGTGTCAGGTTTTTAGATCACTTGCATCGTTTCTATTTTTTTTAATTTTTGTAACATTCATAAATTTTAGATAAATTTCGAAATTTTTGGATTTCTGCTCTCTTAAAGTCTACTGACATCTCTGTAATTCTTCTAAAATTGTTTGGGCTGTTAGAATTTTCAGAACTTTTACTCGTATTTTGGATTTCTGTTGTTTTAAAGACATTTAGAACCCTCACGTATAACTTAATGTTGGGATTTTTAATTTTTTGGAATTTTAAAAATTTTCTGTTTGAGATTTATAACATTTCTCTGTTTATAAACTATTTAAGGATTTTTGTAATTTACAAATTTTTCATTTATTTTTTCAAGATTTGAGGGATTTTACCTTTTTTGGAGCTAGTGAAATTTTTACAAGCATTTTGAAAATTTTCCTCTAAAATATTCAAATTTTATATTTTTTACTGAGGTTTTCCAGGCTTTCAACAATTGAGGACTTTTGTAATTTTTGGATTTCTAGATACTTTTAAACACTTTATATTTTTGATTATGAACTTCTTTGAATTTTTGAATTTTTTATATTGTTAGATTTTTTGTTCATAATTTTTGAAATTTTCGGAATATGCAGGGATTTTAGGTTTAGTTGGATTTTAAAGTCTGCTGATATTTTTCTTAATCTTCTAAAACTTTTTGGGCTGTTAGAACTTTCAGACGTTTCGGACTTTTTAAATGTTCTAGTTTTATACTGAGGTTTCTGTAAGCTTTTTGAAAATTTTCATTTAGAACGTTCAGAGTTTTATATATAATTTTTAGTGAAATTTTCCAGATTTTCAAGATTCTGGGACTTTTGTAATTCTTGGATTTTTAGATACTTTTAAGATGTTTTCTATTTTTGAATTTTTGTGCTTTTAGATGAGATTTTTGAGTTTTGGCGATCTTTACGACTTTTGAATTTTTACGATTTAAAGATTTTTTCCTGTATTTTTTTTGTATTCACTGTTTCCAACTTTTTTTAATTTCTTTGAATTTTCGATATTGTTAGTTTATGACTTTTTTTAGATTTTTGGCATTTCAAAGTCTCTTGGCATCCACTAGAAATCTAATACTTTTATCTAAACCTACAGAGTTTCCAAATCTAAGATATTTTGGATTTCTGTTGATTTCAACATATTCAGAACACTCCCATAATAATAATTATAATTTCAGTATTTTTTAATTTTTGCAATTTTTAAAATTTTAGCGTTTGGGAATTTTGACTTTGAATTTTACATTCCTTTGTAATCGCTTTTAGATATTTGAGGAATTTTACGATTTTTTAGACTACTGAGGTATCTATAAGCCTTTTGAAAATTTTCGTCTAGAACATTCAGTATTTTATAATTTTTAGTGAAATTTTCCAGACTTTCAAGATTCTGGGGCTTCCATAATTTTTGGATTTTTGAATACATTCAAGAGATTTTATATTTTTGAACTTTTGTGCTTTTAGACTAGTTTTTTTAGTTTTTGCTATCTTTTCGACTTTTATATTTTTGAACTTTCGTGCTTTTAGACTAGATATCTGAGTTTTTGCTATCTTTTCGACTTTTGGGTTTTTTGGATTTAAGGATTTTTTATATGATATTTTTTGTGTTCTCATTTTTCAACCTTTTTTGAACTTCTTTGAATTTTTTATAAATTTTTTGTTCGTATTTTTTTTAATTTTTGGGTAACAGGTAGAAATTTTAGGTTTTTAAAATTTTTGGTTTTTGTCACTTTAAAGTCTGATGATATCTTAGTAAATCTACTAAAACTTTTGGGTTGTTCACATTTTCAAAAATTTTGAAATTTTTAAAACCTCAACAATTCAACAAGTTCAAAAGACTCTCATAATAATTATAATATTGGTATTTTTAATTTTTTGAAAGTTTTAAAATTTTAGCGTTTGCGATTTATGACTTTGCCCTATTTATAAGGTATTTTCGACTTTTAGGTTTTTTGTATTTAAGGATTTTTTGATATGATATTTTTTGTGTTCTCATTTTTCAACGTTTTTTGAACTTCTTTGAATTTTTTATAAATGTTAGATTTTTTGTTCGTTTTTTTTTTAATTTTTGGGAAACAGGTAGAAATTTTAGGTTTTTAAAACTTTTGGTTTTTGTCACTTTTAAAGTCTGCTGATAACTTTGTAAATTTTCTAAAACTTTTGGGTTGTTCACACTTTCAAAAATTTTGAAATTATTAAATCTCTAGTTTTATCTAACCTACAGGGTTTCCACATTTAAGATATTTTGGATTTCTGTTGATTTCAACAAATTCAAAAGACTCGCATAATAATTATAATATTGGTATTTTTAATTTTTGAAATTTTTAAAATTTTAGCTTTTGAGATTTATGAATTTGCCCTGTTTATAAGCTACTTACGATTTTTTTATTTTCGACTTTTACATTCCATGTAATCGTTTTTTCAAAATTGAAGGGATTTTGCTTTTTTTGAGCCTACTGAGAGTTTTACAAAGACTTTTGAAAATTTTAGTCTAAAATATTCAGGTATATTCTTTAGTAAAATTTTTCAAACTTTCAAGATTTCGGAATTTCCGTCATTTTTGGATTTCTAGATACATTCATGAGATTTTTTTTATATTTTTGAACTTTTGTGCTTTTAGACTAGGTTTTTGAGTTTTTGCTATCCTTTCGACTTTTGGGTTTTTTGGATTTAAGGATTTTTTGATAGAAGTTTTTTTGTGTTGTCCTTTTTCAACCTTCTTTGATCCTCTTTGAATTTTTTTAAATGTTAGATTTTTTGATAGTAATTTTTTTAATTTTTGGGGAACAGGCAGAAATTTTGGGTTTTTAAAATTTTTTGTCACTTTATAGTCTGTTGATATCTTTGTAAATCTTCTAAAACTCTTGGGTAGTTCACACTTTCAAAAATTTTGAAATTTTTAAATCTACTAGTTTTATCTTAACATGCAGGATTTTCAAATTTAAGATATTTTGGATTTCTGTTGATTTCAACAAATTCAAAAGACTCTCATAATAATTATAATATTGGTATTTTTAATTTTTTGGAATTTTTAAAATTTTGAAAATTTTGGTCTCAAATATTCAGGTTTTATCATTTTTAGTGAGAGTTTCCAGACTTTCAAGATTCCGGTTTTCCGGTAATTTTTGGATTTTTAGATACTTTTAAGGCATTTTATATTTTTGCACTTTTGTGCTTTTAGATGAGGTTTTTGAGTTTTTGAGTTTTTGAGTTCTTTGGGTTCAAGGATTTTTTGATGTGATATTTTTTGTATTGTCATTTACCAACCTTTTCGAACTTCTTTAAATTTTTGATATTGTTAGATTTTTTGTTCGTAATTTTTCAAACATGTATAAATTTTAGATTTTTGATTTTTTGGATTTTTGCCATTTTAAAGTTTGCTAACATCTTTGTAATCTTCTAAAACTTTTAGGACTGTTACAACTTTCAGAAGTTTTTAAATTTTTAAATCTTTTAGTTTCGGATTTCTGTTGACTTAAACATATTCCGAAGAGTCACAATAATAATTGTAATATTGGTAATTTTAATTTTTTGGAATTTTAAAAATTTTAGCATTTGGGATTGACGATTTTGCTCTGTTTAAAAGCTATTTACGATCTTACGAATTATCTTAACAAAGTAAGAGCTTTAAACTCTCTGTCTTAAATGTTAAAAAAAATTGACTAGTATTCATGTTTTTTTATTCCGCTAGTTAAAATCGTAATAATTACTAGAAAATAAATTCCACAATTCTGGTCGATTTCACAATCCCAGCCCGTAGCATCCTTAGTAATTCTTAAAGAAATTCGCAACATTTTTCAACTAGGAATGTATAGTTAACAAGCTTATATTTATAAAAGGAAATAAACTATAAATAAAAATACTAAAAAGATGTTAAATCACTTCCGGAAAAATCTAGTAGTTGATATGCAGGTGCGTGACTTGAATGACCTTAAATCCGGCCCTGTTTACAAGTGTCGTAGAAATAATCATCAGTGAAAGGACCAAAGTAATTAACTGACTTCATGAAATTTTGTCTAAAATTATTGTTGTGCAAACACTTCACTTTAGAAATTTAGATATACGGACAGATATTACATAACCTAGAATCAAAACCAGAAGGAAAGACAGATTTTCGATAAAAGAGTTGAATGAAAAAAATCTCATTGTTTTGTATTACCGTATTTTTCCATTCAGGAATTCCGCAGGGGTCCCAACCCGGACTTACTCGTTTTTCCGTTTACGTAAGTGACTTTAATCCTATTTTTGAACACTTAGAAAGCACTGTGACTTTGTACACTTTTTACACTTAAGTTTCCCTTTTTCTTTCACTAATTTTCACTTTAAACCCTAACCACTCACCTTGAAGAAAATCCCCAAATAGTAGCGCTTTTCGCCGAGCTTGAGCAGCGGCATCGTCCACCTGTTGGCCGAGGGCACCGAGTCGTCGATGCAGTTGGGGCAATCTGCGGACACAAAACGCATTAAACAGAGCACTCGAGCAGCGGATCCGGACCTGTGCTTTGGGCTCCGCTGCGGACCGACGGTCCTGCAGCGGACAGAGTACCGAGGACTAAGGCTAGCAGCAAACACCGATACATCGTGCCGAAGAGGTTAATGAGAGACTGCTGAAGGCGCGTCTGCTTGGCCCGGTGCTGGGGCGACCTTGCAGACAGAGAAAGTGGTTCTTGCAGACCTACACTTGTCAGATATTCGGCGCTTGCTGCTATTGTCGGGAGGATGCGGCTGCTAATGACCGTTTGACATTGAGGGCCGGGGGAAGCGCCGGGGGCCTTCGGAGGAGGAGGGCGAAGGTCAGAGGGGTGGCCTTTGGATGGAATTTGGATGGTGGAGTGAGGTGGCTTACGCAACGAGAAATCTGGTGGGTGCTGGTGCGGTTGGCGGAGTTGGAGGTTCGAAGTCAAAATTTTTGGCATGGAATTTGGAGAAGATTAGAAGTAGATAATCAAAGTAAGGTTCGCAATTAATCGTACAAAAAGTTGGAATTAATGAAAAAAAAACACTTTCATTTGGTAGTGTATTGCCATGAAATTTCTACAGATATAGACTTCTTTGACCCACTCCAAGAACAAAAGACTGGATACTGTTTACAGTTTCTTCACAGCAAACTTCAACTAAAGAAAGTGCTGTTTCATGGATATAAATGTATTTACGTTCATTCCTTTTGTTAATTCAGTACTTTTCAAAGAAAATTACGGAAATATTACGTTACTGGTGGAAGAAATAATTAAATATACATTTCACAATTGTCAACATTTGAGAAGCGTGGATGAAGAATCCTGTGAGAGGTTTCATTTCATAAGAACATTGACACTAAAGATTTTAGAAATATTCGATCTGGATGTCAATTTTTCTTGATATTTGAAAGATTTTTCAGGAATTCCTAGATCCTTAAAATTTCCAGGATTTAGTTTTTTAATTTTAAAAGAGCGTTTTTAACATTCACTCTAAAGATTCTTTAAAAAAATGGAGCATCGTTTATGAAGATTTAAAAAATATTTCCCAACATTTTTCAAGAACTTAAAAAATTTCAATTTTTTCATTTTTAAGATATTCTTCGATTCATCTTGAGATTTAAAAAAATATCAATATTTTCAAGAACTTTTTCAGTAATCAAAGTTTTTTTTAAGATCTTGGGATTTTTCAAAGTTTTTCAAAATTGTTTGAAGATCTTAAAAAATTTTAGAAGTCCACGTCAAAAATTTTCATAATTTTTAAGATTATCGAGCTCCTTACAAATTTAAAGATGTGTTCTAAAATTTCGAGATTTTTCTTTCAAAATCCAATATTTTTTAAAAGATTTTTTTTGTACCTACTTATTTTTTTTTATTTTGAAGAACCATATTTAAATTTTCAATATTTTTCAAGATTTTTTTCAAAATCCAAAGTAAGTAGACAGAAAAAGAAGTTTTTTTAAACATTTCCGAAATCTATATTTAAATTAATTTTCAATTTTTTTTTAAACATAGAACATGGTTCTTGATATTTTAAAGATTCTTCAGGACTTCCTAGATCCTTAAAATTTACAGGATTTAGTTTTTTTAATTTTAAGGAGCCTTTTTAACATTCACTTTATAAAGATCCTTTAAAAAATGAAAGATCATTTATGAAGATTTAAAAAATATTTCCCAATATTTTTCAAGAACTTAAAAAAATTGTTTGGTCATTTTTAAGATGTTTTTCGGTTCATCTTGAAATTTAAAAAAATATCAATATTTTCAAGAACTTTTTCAGTAATCAAAGTTTTTTTTAAGATCTTTAAAAATTTTAGAAGTCCACGTCAAAAACTTTCATAATTTTTCAAGATTATCATGCTCCTTACAAATTTGAAGATGTTTTCTAAAATTTCGAAATTTTTCTTTAAAAATCCAACACTTTTTAAAAGATTTTTTGTACTTTTTTTTAATTTTGAAGAACCATATTTAAATTTTCAATATTTTTGCGAGATTTTTTTCATAATCCAAGATTTGTTAAAAGAAGACAGAAGAAGTTTTTTTAAACATTTCCCAAATCTATATTTAAATTAATTTTTAAAATTTTTTCAAAACCTTGAACACGGTTCTTGATATTGTAAAGATTTTTCACGATTTCCTAGACCCTTAAAGTTTCCAGGTTTTAATTTTTTTAATTTTAAAGAGCCTTTTTAACGTTCACTTTAAAGATCCTTTAAAAGTTCTAAAAGTTGGCATATTTCTAGAGGTCCAAATTTACCAAAAAATGTTTGTGGGTAGTTTTCGAAGATGAATCTACAAAAATTTCTCGATCTCGGCGTACTGATTCGAAAATTATGGCGTGTTATGGTTCCGAAGCAAGATTTTAGAAATATTAGGTTTTAAAGTCAAATTCTAAATATTGCGATATTTCGTTGAGCGATTCTAGAAAAATGGTCAGAGTTGTTGAAAAAATGACGCTGAAAATCGAAATCTACAAAAATCTGTTTAGATAATGTTCGAAGATAGTCAAAAAAGGTCGAAATTTTCGTATTGAAGGATTCAAAAATTAATCTTTTCAAAAAGTACTATTTTTTTATCCTAAATAAAGTTCCTGAGGTCTAAATTTGTAAAAAAATCTCTTTAAATAATATTAAAGGTGGTCTAAAAAAGAGCGAAATTTTCCACAGTGGGGAGTATTGAAAAATTGAACTTTTAAAAATGTTGTCTAAAAATCGACAAAAAGGCGACAAAAAACTCATGAAAAATGCAACAAGGAAGTCACAAAAACACGACTAAAACGTCAAAAAAATATACAAAAATGACAACAACAAAAACGAAAACAAAAAAGCGGTAACCGAAGTTACAAAGAAAGAATAAAAAAAGCAGACGGAGAAAGGGCATCAAAGCAAGAAGACAAAAAAAAGAAATAAAAACGACAAAAACAATACAAAGTGACAAAAAAAGTAAAAACCGCCAAAATATGACCACAAAAAATGCAACAATAAAAGTGTTAGAAAAGGAATAAAAAAGCGAGGAAAAAAAGGGAAGTCAAAAAAACGACCAAAAAAGGCCACAGAAAATGTAACAAAAAAATTACGATAGAAGACAATATAATTAAAACCAACGTAAAAGAGCGACGAAGACTTGAAAATAAAACGATAAAAAAGTAGACTAGAAAATGCGGAAACAGGTAACAAAAAAATACCCAAAAAAATCTCCACCAAAAAACAACTAAAAAGGCGATAAGATAACTTGATTTAAAAATCCACAAAAATTCTGGAATCTCGAGGTACTGATTCGAAAAATATCGGGTGTTTATAGTTCCGGAGTACGATTTTAGAAATATTAGGTTTCAAATTTTTTTTTTTTTTCAAAATTTCCAAGTGTTGCCATATTTCGTTGAGCGATTATGGAAGAATGGTCGGAGTTTTCGAAAAAATGAAGCGGAAAGTAATTTCTGAAAGTCGAAATCTACAACATTCTGTTTAGACAATGTCCGAAAATAGTCGAAAAAAGGTCGAAATTTTCGTAGAGGAGAGCATTGAAAAATGGATTATTTGAAAAAGTTCTCTAAAAGTTCACAAAAAATTCTGAGATGTAAATGTCCACATACTGATTCCAAAAATATAGCGTGTTTATAGCCCTGTAGCCCAATTTCAAAAATCTTCGGTTGGAATGTCATTTTTTTAAATTCTTTAAATAGTTTTGACGGTGGTTTAAAAAAGATCAAAATTTTCGTTAAGTGGTGAGTATTGAAAAAGTGACAAAAGGGTGTAGAAGGCAACAAAAAAGCTCATAAAAAATGCAACAAAAAGACGAAAAACACGACAAAATATCAAAAAACGGAGTCAAAAAAACGACATAAAATGCAACAAACAATGACAAAAAAGACAACGAAAAAACGACAAAAGAAGCGACAAGAAAAGTTACAAAAAACAACCAGAAGGCCAAACGGAAAAAAGGCTTCAAAGCAAGAAGACAAAGAAAAAAAATAAAAAAGTACAGAAAATGACAAAAACGAATAAAGCGAGATAGGAAAGAGACAACAAAAGAACACTTAAGAAAGCGTCAAAAAGCGACAAAAAAGAAGTAAAAACCGGCAAAATAACACTACAAAAAAATGCAACAAGTGTCAAAAAGAAGCAAAAACAAAAATAAGGCAAGAAAATATGCGAAAAAAAGAGTCATAGAAAAGGAAAGTATGAATAAACGCGAAAAAGTGGAAAAAAGGCACTAGCAAAACGACGCAAAAAACGGACCAAAAAATTGAAAAAAAATCTCCAAAACAAAGACGTAGAAGAAAACGTTAAATAACGAAGAAGAGAGAGGAAAAAGCGATACAGAAACATTCTAAAGATGTAACAAACCAATTAACACGAAGCAGAAAAATTAAATAAACAAAGACCAAAAAAATCGCGACCAAAAAACAGCAAAAAAGGCCTTAAAATAACTTTATTTAAAAATCCACAAAAAATTCTGGAATATAGAAAAATCGATACAGAAACATTGTCAAAAATCAGTAAAAAAAAGAGTAAAAAAAAATCCCAAAAAAAGTAACAAAAAAATTCCCACGAAGCGCAAAAGGTAATAAAAAGGACCAAAAAAATCGCGACCAAAAACCAGCAAAAACGACCTTAAAATAACTCGATTTAAAAATCTACATAAATATTTTGGTACCTGTACTTACTGATTCGAAAATTATTCCGTGTTTACAGTTCAGAAGCAAGATTTTTGAAATCTTCGACGTCAACGTTTTACTAACTGGTAAAAATTATTAAGGGGGAAGTAATTTCTGGAGGTTGAAATCTATACAAAATATCTTAGGGTAATTTTCGAAGTTAGTCGAAAAAATGTCCAAATTTTCGAAAAATTAAAAAAATGAGCTTTTGAAGAAGTTCTCTAAAAATTCATAAAAAATTGTGGGTTATAAATCTCAACGTACTAATTCGAAAAATATACCTGTTTAGTGTAAAGAAGCAAGATTTCAATAATATTAGTTTAAAATGTTAATT